TTGATCTGCATTTCTCTTGATGATTAACAATACTGAGCAATGGATTATATATCCATCAGCCATTTCCATGTCTATTTTGGAGAGATGATTTAAGTACTTAGCCCATTTTAAAATTAGGTTGTTTGTTTGTTTTACTTTATAGAGTTGTACGGGTTTTTACACATTTGGGGATATTAAACCCTTATCAGACGTATGCTTTGCAAACATTTTTTTCCACTCTGCAGATTGCCTTTTCATTCCACTGAGTGTTTTTACAAGACCACTACAGACTGCTAATTGTCAAAAGCAATGACTTCTCAGCATTCTTCTTGATTACTTCCTTCTCCTTAATACACTCTCCTTTCAAGACAGCATTTTCTTCTAGCTTCCTCTCACCTGTGGGCCACTCTTCCTCCATCTCCTCTGCTTGTTAAGTTACATATAATTCCGTCAACATTTCTCTTCTCTGCGTGTTCCCAACATGCATTCTTTCTCTCTGCTTCAACTGCAGTTTGTGTGCCAATTATTCCCAGATCTGCACAGCACTGCTCCTCATCTCTTGCTTCTGAACCAAAGCATCTTCTGGATATCTTAYGAGTCCCTCTAATTCAGCATATTTCCAGAGCTGGACTATCCTTTTCTCACATTCAGTCAAATTTGACATCTTCCTTTGCCTCATAACTTACACTGTCATTAAACTTTAAAATGTCTTTTTATAGAACAATCCCTGTTCACTACTTCCATCTCCACTACTCAGTTAGGCCCTCATCAGGACTAGTAGATGGTTAATTAAAGGAACTCTGAAAATCAGACTAATTGAATTCCAGGTATGTTTGTTTGTTTGTTTGTTTGTTTTAACTTAATAGCTGTGTGCTTTGGGTACGTTATTTAACTTCTTTAAAGCTTGGTTTCCTCATCTGTTGAGTGGGACTAGCACTTAGAACTAGTGTAAGAAATTTCATGATCTCAATAAAATGTCATTCACAATGGCTGGCACGTGGCAGCCACTCAAAAATGTCATTTTTCTCACATCAGTATTCTCCTTCCTGCCTGCCTTAACATATATTTCCCATCTAATGCTCATTCAGTTATACCAGTTACTTCCTAAATCATGTCAGTCTTTGATTAAAAGTAAAAAACTCTGTATGCATTTTTATTGCCTATATTTAAAAGACTGTCTCTTAAAGGCATTAATGACTTTTTAGAAATCTAAACCCAAGCTACCTTTCCTGATAAAAACTCCCCACTCCTTAGCATATAACATACATATCTAAGATACCTAGTTAAGCCTTGCTTTCTTTATTGTAGTCACCCCATTCTCAAGATCTTCCCTTATTGTTTTTTTTAAATTTTATAGTTGTACATAGACAGAATGCCTTTATTTTATTTGTTTTTTATTTTTATGTGATTCTGAGGATTGAACCCAGTACCTCACACATGCCAGGCAAGTGCTCCACCACTGAGCCACAACTCCAGCCCAAGATCTTCTCTTATTTCTATATTTTTGGTACCACCAGGGATTGAACCCCAGGGTGCTTAACCACCAAGTCACATCCTAGCCCTTTTTATATTTTATTTAGACACTGAGTGTCACTAAATTGCTGAAGCTGGTTTTGAACTCACGATCCTCCTGCCTCAGGCTCCTGAGCCACTGGGATTACAGGCATGCACCACTGTGCTCAGCCCTCTTTTATTTCTAGGAGGGGAAATCGTATTTATTTTTGCATAAGCACCTGTTTTCACCAATGAATACAAATTCCTTGGAAGCAAAGAACCCTCCCTTATTAACTTGGTACATCGCATTCMTTTATTCACCAAATATTTATTTTGAGAGCCAGGCACTGTGTAAGCATTAAGGAAACAACCACAAAGAATGAYTGACCCACACCCTTAACAAGTGTACAGTGTGGTTAGGGAGATAGATACACATASGATTCCATTAAAGGGTAACAGGTGAAAGGGCTCTAGATCCTGATCATATGTTGGAATTCCCAGGACTGAATTGTTTTCTCAGTACTGCAAATTAAACCCAAGGGCCTCTACCACTGAGCTCTTTCTCCAATTCTTTTTAATTTTTCTTTTGAGACAGGGTCTTGCTAAATTGCCCAGGCTGGTATTAAATTTGCAATCCTCTTACCTCAACCTCCCAAACCAGAGATTACAGGTGTGCACCATTGTGCCTAGCTGAATTCTTTTAAAAATGCTAATGCCTGGGTTAACTACCAAACATGCTGATTTAATTGGCCAGTGGTGTGTGTGTGTATGTGTGTGTGTGTGTGTGTGTGTGTGTGTGTGTGTGTGTGTGTGTGTTTTAAAGCTGCTCTGGAGCAGTTATGTCAAGTGAGTGTTGCAAACCTCTGGGATAGAGTTGTACACAGGAGACTATGGGACATGAGAGACTCATCTGGTAGCTGGCACTTGGGGTTGTCCTTCCTTTCTCCATGTGACTTAGGAGACAATGTCCCACCCTCCACTCRGGGGTAGATTCTAATTGTTCTTTTTGTGATTAGTTTAGGTAGGCAAAGGAAACTCACTCTGAACAAGGATACAGAGTGGGAGGCTGASTGTGCAAAGTTGGAAAAAGGTTTCCTACTCCCAAGGAAAATATGCCAGGAAAGATATACTGTTTCTGCATCTGGACAATGCTGTGTCTGGCTGTAACAACTGGAATTGTAGAAGTCATACTGTAACCACAAACACAGAACTGAAATCCAGAAAGGAGATGGGTTCTGGTTGATGCAATTGTCAGTCAGTGCATCAGACAACCCTGTTGTCAGTCTACCTGTGCATTCCTTCATGTATGAAGGTAATTTTCTAATTGTTTATACTACTTCAAATAAGAATACACTCTTTACCTGTAGCAGATGGCATCTCAMCTGATATGCAACTAAACCAAAGTTGGGGATCAAGGAAAGGAGTGTAGTCCAGAGAAGGTGATATCTGACAGGAGTCCTCAGTAAGGCAGTTGAGAGGCAAAAGCAGCAAATTAAAAGACACGGGTATGAAAGTATGAGATATTCTTGAAACTGTATAGTTCAGAAAGCTACTGCAAAGCGTTTAAGCAGGGAGATAAGGCTGGAGGGGTGGTAGACTGGGTCAGATTTTGAGGAACCTCGCATGCTGTGGTGGATTAWATATGGCCACAAATCCTTTRCAGCTCTTCCTAACAGGAGGAGTCATCTGTCAACATGCCATGCATCTGGCTGGCTTTGTGACTTGGTTTGACCAACAGAATACACAATGAAGTTATGTTTATTCTAATTCCAGAGCTGAGGCCTGCCTCTCCTGAATGCTGCCTAGAGGCTACCATGCTACCATGAGGAAGGCAGTTTAGCCCACTGAAGCATGACAGGACAGGTGGAGAACAGAGGTGGCCCCTCGACACCCAGCGCCACCTGCTGGGCCTTGAGGGAAAGGCCATCTTGAACCATGTGGCTATTTCCACCATCACAGGACTGAGTATGAGCCCAGTGAATCTAGAGTAGTAAGAACTATGACATCACTGCTGCACTAGCAGGGGTGAGAAATAATGGGGAACTGAACTAAGGCAGTGGCGGCAAGAAGGCACAGAAAAGTCATCACAGAAGTTTGTAAAATCCACATGATGGTGAATACAGGTTAAAGAGTGTAAAGGAGGAAATGAATTAGGTACCAAAGTTTTCTGGGATAGGTAAACAAAGGAATGATGGCACCAATCACTAAAGGAGAGATCTTGGGAGGAAGAGAAGGTTGGAGGTAACTGGGGTACGCCCAAGTGGAGRTGTACAGCAAGGAGTTTTAAATATTAAATAAATGTTTGAAACATAAATTACTATGATTAATCTGGGAGAATACTGAAGTACTGCAGTCCAAGGAATCATCTTGATTTGATCTATATGGCAAAATTTGAGTGCCTTCTAAAGCAAGTAAAGTTTTCAAAAACTTTTATTGGTGTGTTATAATTATACTTAATAGTTGGGTTAACTGTGATATATTTATATATGCACATAGCACAAATTCATCTCTTCATTYCCTCATACCTCCCCTTTCCCTCCCCTCTTCCTTCCTCTGGTCACTTTCTGCTACCCTACTGGTATCTCTTCTATTTTCATGAGGTCCCTTTATTTGAAAAGAAAACCTAGGAACTTTTAGAGTCCTGCTTATTTCACTTAGCATGGTCTCTGGTTCCATTCACTTTCCTGCAAATGTCACAATTTTTGTAATTCTTTATGGCTAACTAAAACTCCATTGTGTGTGTGTGTGTGTGTGTGTATATATATATATATATCACGTTTTCTCTATCTATTTTTTTGAGGGACACCTAGGCTGGTTCCATAACTTGGCTATTGCAAATTGTGCTGCTATAAACATGGGTATGTATGCACAGCTGTAGTATGCTGACTTTATTCTTTAGGATAAATACTGAGGAATGGGTCATAAAGTGGTTCTATGCCTAATCTCTTGAGTAACCTCCAAACTGATCTCCACAGTAACTGTAMTAATTTCCAATCCCACCAACAGTGTATTCTCACCAGCATTTTTTTTTTATTGTTAATGACTGCCATTCTAACTGGAGTGAGATAAAATCTTGGTGAAGTTTTTAAGTCAAGTAAAGTTTTAATGGTGTGAACTCATTCTATTGACATTTCATCAGAATAGAAAGGAAAAGGAAAGTTTAAGAGTCTGTGCAATCTGAAATGCTGATAAATCTGCACACTGTTTAGCTTATGTGCTTTAATCTGTAATCTCAGAGAACACTTGTAGCATACAGTGGTCCTACACGAAGGCACTACTGCACTTTTCGGTATCTCTAGAGGGTAAGTTCTATTATACAAGTTCTCTCTGTTTCTTTCCTACAGATTCTCCTATCCTATAGAGCATGAAGGGGTCTCCATATGCTAGAAAGAATGAAGACTACAGCTAGAGAGAGTCTACTTCCAAGGTGCATATTTTGTCAAGTGGGCACAATATGTGATTTGCCAGTGTAATAAATTACACAGGCTACAGACAACATCAATATCCACAAGTAAATACTGACTTACCTTTGATATTGGTTAAAATAGCAAGTAAATGGCTGGGAACCAATCTCATCTTTCCAGTACTGTTGCCAATTCATGACACTTTCCAAGTTCTTCTGATTTTCTCTCTTACAGGGAGGAATATAGGAGCACTAACAAAATAGAACACAGAAAGTACAGCTATTATTCTATAGAATATTAAAATATACCCCATTTTTCTTCAAAGATGTTCTTTGATTACAGTGCATGGCCTGAGACTGATAGGAAAGCATAGACTGATAGGAAAGCATAACCAGGGCAGCTACTGCCCTGGTTAGCATTGAATGCCCATCTTTTTTTTTTTTTTTTTGTAGATGTAGATGGACCAAATGCCTTTATTTTATTTGTCTACTTTTATGTGGTGTTCAGGATCGAACCCAGTGCCTCACACTTGCTAGGCAAGCACTCTGCCATTGAGCTACAGCCTTAGCCCCTCGAATGCCCATCTTGATGGTCATGAATGTGCCAGTGGTGTCACCACTAGGCATTAGGGTTTTCACAATGCTACCCATCAGCTCCTGCTCAGGTGTTCTAATCATGAGACAGGAAAAATTGCCAAAGAGAGCCCCAGCCATCATACTCTTACCATCTTAATATGGTCAAAGTAGTTGGATTGGGACTATCCACAAGGACCCACAGCAATTGGCATCTTGCTTGTGGCCTTGGCTCCTGGTCCATTTTTACAGGGAGATGGCACTGTGCAGATGTTAAATCTAATTTAAACCTAATTTAAAAATACAACCAAATTGAAATTGCTTCACTATATTTCAAATTTCCAATTTGGTACAATGACAAAAAAAAAAAAAAAAAAAAAAGAAAGAAAGAAAAAAGAAACAAAAAAACCCTCCAGTAACTAAAATACCTTTAGCCATTAGGATATAAGGACATTTCATAAACAAGGAATTACAATCCAAAGACAAATTAAAAGCATAATATATCTTCTCTTTTGGGGAGCCTGCCAGTCAACAGAGGGAGCGGGGGAAAGTTCATTTTTATCATCAATTCCTATCTGTGGACCTTGGCATTTTCCTCTTCCACTTTTAACTATTAAATCAAGCACATGCCTAGATCTTCTCCAGATCCTACTTYTCAACCACTGAAACTTAAGTTTTCTTTTCTTACATTCTCTTAGGCAATGAAATCAGCAGAAAACTTCCTTCAAGCATATAATCAATGTATTTTGCTAACTGATGTTTTTTCCTAGCCATGACGCTGACAGAGTAAATCTCTTCAGGGGGCTCAATTACCCTAAACAATACAGATTCAGCACCACTGAAAAACTGATTTTAACTCCAGTTGTTAAAATGAGCCCTAAGCATCCTAAGCCATTTTCTCCAACTCAGACTTTTATAAAGATGAAGATGATTCCAGCTTATATTTATTATTTACAATATGCCAGAGACTGTAATGAGTACTGAATGGGACAGAACTTGTGTACATTTTTTTTCTTTTTTTTCTTTTTTGGCACTGAGGATGCTTTATCACTGAGCACATCCCCAGCCCTTTACTGATTTTTTAAAAAGTATTTGTGTAAATATTCTGCCATTTAATTAATTAATTAATTTGTTTATTTTGGCACTGGAGATTGAATTCAAGGGCACTTGACCACTGAGCCACATCGCCAGCCCTATTTTGTATTTTTTTAAATACAGACAGGGTCTCACTGAGTTGCTTAGTGACTCACTGTTGCTGAGGTTGGCTTTGAACTTGCAATCTTCCTGCCTCAGCCTCCCGAACCTCTGGAATGACAGGCATGGCCACTACACCTGGCTTTTTTTTTTTTTTTGAGACAGGGTTTCATTAAGTTGCTTAGAGCCTAGCTAAATTGCCAAGGCTGACCTTGAACTTTCAATCCTCCTGCCTCAGTCTCCAGAGCCACTAGGATTACAGGCATGCACCACCAAGCCCAGCACTCAATGTACTTCTTACAACAGCCCTCTAATGATCTCCATTCTATAGATGAGGAAATTGAGATTCCTGTCAGGTCTACAACTAGAAATAGATTCCAGTGATTTTATCACATTCTACTCACAGATGTTTTACCAAGGTATCTGATATCAAGAAGCAGAAACACAAAACAAGACAAAGCATTAGCTTTAGAGTACAATTTGAGTTACATTCTTTTACTTACAGCAAATCATTTTGCAATGCCTTCCCATTATTTCTGGTGAAATTCAAAAATTTTGAGCACTATGTACAAAACTATGATCTGGCCCCTGTCTGGTTCCATCTTCATTTAATCCTGGGATACAGCTAGACAGAAGCCACAAATCTGCCACACGCTGTGACATTTACCTGCCTGGCACAAACTTTTATCTCCTTTCAATGTCCCTTTTCTTTCATCCCTTTCTTTGGAGTCAGGTCTAGTGTCACCTCTTTGGGGGACCTTTTCTTTTTGCTGCCTATTAGGTGCTCTTCCCCTGTGCTACCCCAGGATGCACATCTCATGATATCACGGCCAGAACCACAGTCTCACACTGCCTGTCAGCCTCCCCAGGGAGCTGGCAGGTTGAGAGCAAAGGACTGCTGTTTTTCTTTTCTGTCTTCACACTGAGGACCTTCCAGAAATGATGCAGTTTCAAAAATGTTTGTTGATTTAATAAAGGTCTTCTGTACATTTTTATTCAAGATGATAAAGCTATTTTCAGTAAATATCTTAAAAATATACAAACAGTGTGCTTAAAATTTTAATATATTTGGTTGTTTTCTATTATATAAAACAAATTTACAACATGTTATACAAATACTATTTTAATGACTGGACTACTGTGCACATATAGTGTCACTTTTATTACTAGCAGTAATATAAAGCTGTGAGATACAGATTTTGAGTTCTTCTAATGCTACAGTTAGGCTTAGAAGCAAAGGAGACTAAAGGCTTTAGTCCTGTGATTCATTAGGTGTTGGGCTTTGGACAAATGTCTCCCCTTTTCTGAATTTCATTTTTTCTAACCTGTAAAATCTCCAAAATAATTTCTAGCACTACATTTCAATGACTACATTATTGGAGACACATCAAGAGAGAACCCAACAGAAGGCAGGACTACAAACACTATTGCATGATTTTCCCAGAAGAGATCCTGCCCACTGGGGAGAGGCTGGGAACCCTGAGGAAGCCCCCAGACTCCAGCCAGCAAAGGAGATCAGTGTGGGAGGTCCCTCCCTGGAGGCCTGGACTTTGCATTGGGAAAACATCCATAAGAGGATCGTGATTTTCCAATTGCTTAACTTTCTACAATGTGTTGGATATTTCCTTTCCTTCTATTAAAATATTTTCTTTCTATACACAGTCAATTGGTTTATAAAGCAAGWATAAGTGCCCATTTATTGTGGTATTTCTAGGAAGGAGAAATTTTCAGTTTTGAAGGTAGAAGCTGTGGGGTATAAATGTCCAAAAATTCATCAAAGCCCTTTTAGCAATGGTTATCCCTGACACAAGAGGTAGACTCAACATTTCAAAAAATGATAATTACCAACCAAAAGTAATTAAAGTATATTTAAAATTTTTGAAAGATAACTCAATTTGAATTCTTTACTATTCAGGTTTTGGGGGGAGAAATTGTTTTAAAAGAAACGTGTCTACAAAATGCCAATTCTAAGATTTGACCGCATACATGTTTCTGAAAACAGTCAGACAAAAACTTTCACTGAGTGTGGAAAGTTTTGTATTAAGTATGCTGAGCTTTCATGTGAAACATATGTATATATTTTTTTTCATGTGAAACAAATATATATATATATATATATGTATATATATATACATATATATATATATATATATATATATTTCTTGGCTTTAGGAAATTTAGAGCTAATGTGGATAGATTCTGAGAGCAAAGACCTTTTTTTTTTTTTTTYACATTGCAGAAAATAACTTGACAATAAAATTAAGTATCCTTAAAACTTATACTTAAAATTAAGTAAGTATTCTGGATTGCATTCTTTCCAAAGAATATCATAAGTTAAATATCATGTAACACTCTAAAAACTTTGTAAAACACTGTCTTGAAAGGAAAAAATTCAAGACTAAATTTTGTGTTCTTAAGAATCTTTAATGTTATATTTTCTCAAATCCTGTTTCTCCAATTGATTTGTCTTTAAATTTTCTGAGAGGCCTATTGCAGATCCTCTCTAGATCCCTTCTCAGTTCTATGCAATAGATCATCATAGATGGTGAGAATTTCAAATACATTAGAAATGAAAATTCAAAGCAGTGTTCTAGAGAAGCAAAAGTGGGAAAATCAACCACAGACTTCTTTTCTTTCTAGGTCATTCAAGTGTGATGGTTTTCCATTCTCTGTAAGGGCTCCACCATGAATATATCCCTCCTTTGGTGGGGGGGCAAATAATAATCTACATCAAATCATTATCATCATCATTACTGTCATCATCATGATTAACATTTACTGACTTTATGTCAAGCATCTCATTAATCCAAATAAACAAATATTATAATCACACCCTTTGCATAGATGAGGAAATGGAAGGACAGAGAGATTTAAGAAAACATTCCCAAGATCACCATGGCAAACAATCTGGGGCTCAGACTGCAGAGTGTTCTTGACACTGTTCCACACTACCTTCTACATTTCTGTCTGTAGAGCTTCCCATTTCTCTCTTTTGGAGTTCCCTGATCTGGGAGATGCCCTGCCCTCTGCATGCCTCTCCTGGAGAACCAGCATAGTGTTTCTGTGCAGTCTTTCATTTTCCTGATCAGTTCCAAGAAAAATGCACTGTGTTTGCTCCTGCCTCTGTCTTCAAGTTTGGGTTTTTGCGCTATGGATGTAACTTCATTTAGGTCAATCTAAAGTGCCTGTGCTCACAGAGAACAATATTCCCTTGGAGAAACTTCTTCACACAATTCTGATATGTATTATTTTTTCATTTGCAAAGCATTTCCCCACTTCTAATACCATTAACACACACACACACACACACACACACACACAAAAACCTTCAGAAGAACCTGTGTTGTTTGCAGCCAGAACTTGGATGAGATCACTTTAAAAAAAAAAAAAAATCAGGAGAAGCTAGGTACAGTGACACATGCTTATAATCCCAGCAACTCAGGATGCTGAGGCAGGAAGATTGCAAGTTTGAGGACAGCCTTAGC